TTCATGACATCCAATACTTGTGAATCCAGGCTCCCAAGCCCAAAAGCCATTACAAGCATCTTGGCTTGGTTAACCAACAATGATTTAAAAAGGTCATCTGCTTGCTTAAAAAAAAAGTCAGACAAGACTATTCTTCTGATTCATATAGGGTTTGGCACAAAGTTCTAGTTGTCAATAACTACTGCAGCAGAGGGTATGCCTGTATTATTATTGATATATATTATAAGCAATAGAATTAGTTTCTTCTTCAAATACCATAAAAACAGATAAGAGGAGGAACTTGCATACACTTACCCCAGAGCTGGCTAAAATTTAGTCTCCTAATATATTGGAAACTGCATCGTTGTGACAAAACTATGGGTTAGAGTGAGTGCTTAGTAAAAGCAATGTGGGTCATGTGATAGAAAAAACTTTGCTTCCACCAATCCAGTGGAAGTAGAGCAATCCAGCCTCTTCTATTGGTTGAACTAAGGTTTTAGGATGTGAGGTCTCTAAGGCAAAAGGAAATAGGTCATCTCTGACCACCACTCCATTTCATGGGTTATGTTAGTAGAGGACGCAGTCTGCTTGAACTCATCGCTTGCGGTGACTTCCTTCTACCTTACAAGTCAAAATACATAAGAAACCCTTCTGATTTTCAGTTAGCTCCCTAAATGCTCATGAAAAACCCAGTGTTAACTAGAACACTGTCGGAGTTGATATGATGTCTCTTCTTTCTCCGAGGTAGCAATAATCAACATCTCTATCTTGTAAGAGTTAACTTGTCATCAGTGCATAGGATTTACAAATAAACAAACAATGGACAATTTTGATTAAATGAAGACAAAAGACAAATGTAGTTGGAAATAAATGTGTACATTGACAACTTACCTTTGTGTTACCATTGTGTTATAAATTCATATTTTAAAGTACAGTGCCTGTACATGCACATGAAAAATCCTAAAAATTAGGTGACATGTTAGAAAATGTCCGCATTAGTCACATCCTGTTAGAAAATATATACAGTGTATAAACACATCTGTAAAAAATGGTAATCTTGATGTATTTACTGTATAATACATTTTCAACCAACATGTGTCACTAAACAATTAACTATAATATGCATTGTCACCAGTAGCACTTGGCTTTTAATTGTTGGAGTATTTATATGCTTCATGTACTTAAATTGGCCTAGGGAAATGAAAACCTGTCACCAAGTTTTGAATTAATTAGGCATATGTAAACTTGGCATACGCATTTTGTCCACATAAGTGATGTAGATATAAATGGGTAGGACTGTAACCTGAAAATACTACTGGTCCTGTCCATAACCAATTGGTCCCACATTTCATCATACCAGAAGACTAAATGTAATCAATGATACAATAGAAAATTCAGGTAGAACAAAATTTCATCCCCTGGTGGTTTTCAACCAACATGCATCTAAACCCAAAGTGCATCTAAACCCTGGTGGTTTTTTATATTTGGAAACATGGAACGTTCATACAGCAAAACACAAAATAGATATTTATATAATGTCAACTTTATTAAATTTTATTAAACCGAGCATAACATGGCCACTATTTGCTGACCAGGCACATGATGCCTAATATCCAGCTGATCCAGATCCATACATAGTGCATCTAAAGACTGGTATTATAATCTAACAATTGATGACCAGTCTAAATTTTATTAAACTGAACATAACATGGCCACTATTTAATGACCAGTCATATGATGCTTACCATCCAGCTGATCTAGATCCATACATAGTGCATCTAAAGACTGGTCTTATAATCTAACAATTGATGACCAGTCTAAATTTTATTAAACTGAACATAACATGGCCACTATTTGATGACCAGTCATATGATGCTTACCATCCAGCTGATACAGATCCATACATAGTGCATCTAAAGACTGGTATTATAATCTAACAATTGATGACCAGTCTAAATTTTATTAAACTGAACATAACATGGCCACTATTTGATGACCAGTCATATGATGCTTACCATCCAGCTGATCTAGATCCATACATAGTGCATCTAAAGACTGGTCTTATAATCTAACAATTGATGACCAGTCTAAATTTTATTAAACTGAACATAACATGGCCACTATTTGATGACCAGTCATATGATGCTTACCATCCAGCTGATCTAGATCCATACATAGTGCATCTAAAGACTGGTATTATAATCTAACAATTGATGACCAGTCTAAATTTTATTAAACCGAGCATAACATGGCCACTATTTGCTGACCAGGCACATGATGCTTACCATCCAGCTAATCCAGATCCATACATAGTGCATCTAAAGACTGGTATTATAATCTAACAATTGATGACCAGTCTAAATTTTATTAAACTGAACATAACATGGCCACTATTTGATGACCAGGCACATGATGCTTACCATCCAGCTAATCCAGATCCATACATAGTGCATCTAAAGACTGGTATTATAATCTAACAATTGATGACCAGTCTAAATTTTATTAAACTGAGCATAACATGGCCACTATTTGATGACCAGGCACATGATGCCTAATATCCAGCTGATCTAGATCCATACATAGTGCATCTAAAGACTGGTATTATAATCTAACAATTGATGACCAGTCTAAATTTTATTAAACTGAACATAACATGGCCACTATTTGATGACCAGTCATATGATGCTTACCATCCAGCTGATACAGATCCATACATAGTGCATCTAAAGACTGGTATTATAATCTAACAATTGATGACCAGTCTAAATTTTATTAAACTGAACATAACATGGCCACTATTTGATGACCAGTCATATGATGCTTACCATCCAGCTGATACAGATCCATACATAGCGCATCTAAAGACTGGTATTATAATCTAACAATTGATGACCAGTCTAAATTTTATTAAACCGAGCATAACATGGCCACTATTTGCTGACCAGGCATATGATGCTTAATATCCAGCTGATACAGATCCATACATAGTGCATCTAAAGACTGGTATCATAATCTAACAATTGATGACCAATCTAAATTACAGTCTGAATCAGGATTATCATGCATCCAGCTGATACAGATCCATACATAGCGCATCTAAAGACTGGTATCATAATCTAACAATTGATGACCAATCTAAATTACAGTCTGAATCAGGATTATCATGCATCCAGCTGATACAGATCCATACATAGCGCATCTAAAGACTGGTATTATAATCTAACAATTGATGACCAGTCTAAATTTTATTAAACTGAACATAACATGGCCACTATTTGATGACCAGTCATATGATGCTTACCATCCAGCTGATCCAGATCCATACATAGTGCATCTAAAGACTTGTATTATAATCTAACAATTGATGACCAGTCTAAATTTTATTAAACCAAGCATAACATGGCCACTATTTGATGACCAGTCATATGATGCTTACCATCCAGCTGATACAGATCCATACATAGCGCATCTAAAGACTTGTATTATAATCTAACAATTGATGACCAGTCTAAATTTTATTAAACTGAACATAACATGGCCACTATTTGCTGACCAGTCATATGATGCTTACCATCCAGCTGATACAGATCCATACATAGTGCATCTAAAGACTGGTATTATAATCTAACAATTGATGACAAGTCTTAATTATAGTCTATGTCTAAATTATAGTATATGTTTAAATTGATGACCAGTCTAAATTATAGTCTGAATCAAGATTATCATGCATCCAGCTGATACAGATCCATACATAGCACATCTAAAGGCTGGTATCATAATCTAACAATTGATGACCAATCTAAATTACAGTCTGAATCAGGATTATCATGCATCCAGCTGATACAGATCCATACATAGCGCATCTAAAGGCTGGTATCATAATCTAACAATTGATGACCAGTCTAAATTATAGTCAATCAGGATTCGCATGCATCCAGCTGATAGAGATCCATACATAACTCATCTAAAGGCTGGGTATCATAATCTAAAAATTGATGACCAGTCTAAAATACAGTCTGAATCAGGATTATCATGCATCCAGCTGACACAGATCCATACATAGCGCATCTAAAGGCTGGTATCATAAACTAACAATTGATGACCAGTCTAAATTATAGTCAATCAGGATTCACATGCATCCAGCTGATAGAGATCCATACATAACTCATCTAAAGGCTGGGTATCATAATCTAACAATTGATGATAAGTCTTAAATATAGTCTGAATAAGACCCGGGTTTCTCATGCATCCAGCTTATCCATCTTAACACATCTAAAGGCTGGGTTTCGTAATCTAATAATTGACGACCAGTCTGAAATATAGTCTGAATAGGAATCAGGATTCTCATGCAATGACAAGTCATCTATGACAGTATCAGAACTAGACAAAGCCTCCAAAATTGAGGATATCCAATGCACAACTGCACATGACATTAGGTCTACAGATAGATAAGTTCCATCAGTGGATTGTTTCAACTTGATCAAATGTGTTCGCATCGGCAGAATGCAGCTGAACAGTAACTGTTTGTTCAAAAAAGTTTGTGTCTGTAGTTCAGAAAATTTTAAGTGTATCATTTATCAAATTAAAACATCATCTTTATTTAGTTTTCATTAAAACAATTTACATTTTTACTTAATGTATATTTGTGATATGATCTGACTAATGGGTAGACCATATTATTTTACCTGTCTCATGCAATGGCTCCCATAACTGCTGTGTCCTGCATCACAAAATCTTCCAGAACTCCAATAGTTAGTTGAATACAAGTACATAAACCACTTTTTTGGGGGTATGTGTGTGTGATTTGGATTTTTAATATAGTTTTAATTTTTCAGTCATATCGTTACAATGTCTGCAGTGTGGCTGTTTATAGTGATGTCTAGCACTGGGGCATCATGCTGCTGACATGTAGCATGATGTTCCACCCAGTCACATTATCCTAACACCAGGCCGACCAGTTCTAACACTAACCTATTAATGCTGGGTACAGTTGTTAGTACCACTTTTGTAAGTCTTTGGTATGACTTAGCTTGAAATCGAACCCACGACCTCCCAAATCTGAGATGGATGCTCTAACCACTAAACCACCAAAGCGTTAATTTTTCTTCAGAATATATGGAAAGAGTGTTGCTCTGAATGTTGATACAAAAATGTAGAAATCAATCATGCATGAAATGAATTTGATAACTTCAGCTCCATTTTTAGAGGCTTTCCTGAAAATTTACTTAGCTACAGTCTGGGCTATCATTCACGATGTTTTGCTCTAAAACAGTATTGTCTTGGTCTAAGCATGTCTTTATATTCAAAGTGAATCAATTGACCCAACTATTGTTTTCATCTGATTGTGTTGTCTCCCTTTTGAATAGTTCATTTTTTCCAGACTGTGTTTTGATTTTTAGCTTTTGGTGGCTTTCAGGCATCCAAATGGTTAACAAAGACTAGTAGTCTATCAATCTTGGGATATGTTTATTCCCAAGCATTCACCTAAGTTCAGAGGCTGGCAGCAGGCATTTGGGACAAAAGAGTGCTGACATTGATGGCACTGGGTTGTTACAGTCTGAACTGATGACAAAACTGTCTGGTACTAGTCTGTCATACTTCAACAATATTAGGTAGTGTCAGATGTCTTAGTCATTGAGAATGACAGATGTGCAGGTGAAACAATCTGAGTGTAGAGATGAATTTGACTGGGAGAAGGTAATTGTTGGCAGTTATCTCCAAATGTTCACTCAAATACACTCTGTCTGGTCTGGTATTTAGCCCATCATTCTGCAGAGCTCTGGTACTGATGAGCCTTGCCATGAATGCCAGGGTGGCTGTACATCTATTGCCAGGTGTCAAATGCTTCCATGTTTGCAAGCTGGGATTGGGTATAACAGGATCAATGATCACCAACCTGGTTCAATTAGGTGAAGTCTGGTATGGCTGCACCAGTGCTATATTCAAGCTACAGTGATGGTTAGAGTCTGAAGTAACCAACACTGACTAATACTGGCAAGATCCCCAAACCCAGTGTGATGGTAGTTATATCATTTGTAAACTGTGAGCAGTCCTGGGGTGGGTCATGTCCTGGGGTGAATTCCATTACTGTCTATTGTGGGAAAGATAATCAAAGCTGTTACTGATTGGATTTACTGTCTGATCCAGCTGGATCTCCATAGCATGTTAAAACTGGTCCCAATTGGTTGTCAAGGGAAACTATTCTAGATGCCACTAGAGCCTTGGCAAGAACGCGGCTGGATAAAGCAGTAGAGGACTAATAGTCTAAGTATCTGATCAATGTTTCTCACTGTCTTCTACATGGAAATGGCTGCTCATTATATTCCAACTATTATAAAAATATATCACAAGTATGTCCAGAGTTATATTAAATGCTGGTGGAATGATTATCTTTTGCTAACTTGAAACACAATTACTACACTTAATTCTGTAATTAGTATGATCAAAATAAAGGCAGGTGAAAATCTGTAAAACATTCTGATAACTAAGTCTCTGATGAGGGATGCTGACATCAATGTTCAAAGAAATAATACAAATGCATTACACTGAAGTACAAGATCAAAGTACAGCATAAATAAAATACTAATTTAATTGGTAAGTTACCAAAGAAGGGACAATTGTAAGTTATAACACCTACTCTGCAAGCAACTGGCTAATTGAATTAATGCATGATGAAGTTTACAAATAAAGTGATAAATATTCATCAGGAATGAAGGTGGATCAAGAATAAAACTGTTAGCAGGTGGCAAATTGTTCCTTGAAGTGAGACAAATCCAATACTCCCATGGCAATGAGGCACTGAGAGAAGTGGAATTCGCAAGGTGCATGCACCGTGGCATGAGTGGAAGTGGTAAATGATTATAGGGGTTTTTGGTACCAAACCTTATATCCAAAGGAAAAACATTCTTGTCTGAATTCATTTAAATATCAAGCAGATAACATTTTTTGCACTATTTTTGTTAAACCAAGCTATGACAGATGTAACTTCATATTTGACAGGAGGGAAGGGTTGGATTTGTGAGGTACTTGATATATTTCTTATAAATTATGATCAGGTAGTGTATCTCCAAGAGAAATCAATGTATAAAATTTTATGAGTGTACTATGAAACATTGACATAGGGTAATTTCTATGTATTAAGGTAAATCAATTCTACAAAGATGACATTTATCTGATAAAATGCTTATCATCCTTTCCTTTTCACAAGAAAACTAAATGACAGAACTTCACAAACAAGCCACACGAGACCTTGGTCCAAGGCATACATAATAACAAATTTCAGTTAATTAGCAAATACAGTATATATTGTACATACAGTATATCAACAATTCTAAAATGAGTACAAGTTTAGCTAATGTATTAAAAGTGCTGTTAAAACCCTAAAAAGAACAATTAAAAATGAATACTTGACAAATTTAAAACTGACAATATATAAAGTGCTGTCTTATATACTGAAATGTCTTCATAAAATAAATAACACTTGAGCAAAACACATACAAATATTGTTTACATTATAAAGTTCTCACTCAAATACATGGTACATCATGTCCACCAATATGATTCTTGTACAACTCAACCTCAAACAAAATAGTGTTACAGTTACTACACTCTATTCAACATGATTTTAAGTAAATAATAGAAATCCTGATCTACTGGTGCATTATGGTATAGCAGTTGGGAATATGCCATACAAAGGTTAATGGAGTAATAAACAAATTAATGATGAACTGTAACCCTACTGCAGGAGAAAAAGTTAAATGGGTTCTTTTCATTCTTTTTCTCTTTCATTCATAAATAAGTCAAGAGAAAATTATGAGGTTTGACTCTCAAATTAGACAAATATCTGAACTAACTAACCCCATGCCAACCATCATTAGAGACAATGACCTGTATGATCACCTCCAGTACCCCCACACCATCACTCCTCTGTATGACCAAACCTTGCCATTTCTAGTATCGGTGTCTGGTGTACTGCCAATATAATTCTTATTGAAACTGAACACAGAACTAATAAGCCTTTTTATCTTTATTTAATTAAAGCATAGATACTTATAGGTTACTGCATTTGAATGGGAAAATATGGTCAAATTTGTTCCTGCATAATACTGCACATGAGAGTGCTCTATTAATCTAAGAAAACAAGTTTATATTTTCCCATACAAATGCAGTAACCTATTTGTTATATACTCATTTCCTTTTCCTACTTAAAACTTAATAATAAAAGAATACATTACAATTGAATTTATGCATTATTTCAAAATAAATATACATTTCAGTAACAACTTTAATGCACACGTAGCACTACCCAGAGATCTTTGAACTCCAGTATGCTTAACATTAGTTTAAAAAAATTCCCATTTTGGACTGATTAAAATTAAAATTTACAGTCATATTTTGAATGAATGCACATTGAGAAAAACATTTCCAGCTGGTCTGGAATGAACGGATACTTTTTCTGTTGATCCAACTCAATTCTGCTTATGATGGACATGATTTATTGGGTCAATTCAGTGCATTAAGGAGAATTAATTTCAGTTGGAGATAAGGTCAAAATTACAGTATGGTGTTCATGTTTCAGGTTTTCCATGACATGAGTCTTGTTATTCGGATTTGAAAAACTAACCAAGAAAGTGCATGCTGAGGATATTCAAGATGCATAAATATAAGTATTTTATTACCATTCTTATTACTAGCTAAAGAAAATACGTTCATGCCCTGTCATTTGCATGCTTGCTGTTGGATGGACTCTAGCTAAGACCTGTATCATAAAGTGTATGTCTTCTATTGCTAGCCTAACATTGTATCAAAATAGATAAATGGGGAAAATTGCAAAGCTGCTGTTGTGTGACGGTCCATTTAGCCAGTGGAAATAATAGTTTTTCATTGTTCTATTTTATTGGCTCTGAGGCTTATGGCTTCCTACCAAAACCTTCAGCTGTTTTTTTTTTCTTCTTGAATTTAGTGTTTTGACTGACTTGCAAAATTGTACTACTCTGATAGATATGTGATAGCCCTTGGCCTCAGTATACCTTTCTGTGCTATTTTGTTTGGATCCTAGAGAGCATTGGTCATAGTCTGAAAAATTCTATTTGCAAAAAAGTTATGAATATTTCTCCTAAATAACTATTTAAATGATCAGAATGGTAATTTCAACTATTGCATCTCTCATGTTTGTTGTTGACATTTTGTGAATATCATGTTCATACATTTGCTTGTTTGAAAGTGACATTTGAGCAACTGAACTCACCCATGTTGTTAACTTTATCATCCCTACTTTCAAATGGACAAAACAGCTTGTTCAGTTCATCCACAAGCAAATCAAATAAACCAAAAGCTAAATTGTTTACTAAATGAGTGTACAATGTTTGTTTACAAAACAGTTCCTAATACACGATACTGTCTTTAGACACACATCGTGAAGTATACAAAATATGGAAAAATGTTGCATAATTCTAATGACGTAATGTTAACACACAAAAAAAAGCATATAATAATTTTCTTTAGTTTGCTTTTGTGTGTGAATATGCATTTGAAACAAATTTTGTTATGCATCAAACATAAATAATTCCTAAAAAATATTCCTTTCTTTATTGTGGATAAATACAATTAAATTTGTCAGCAACTGACTGACCTAGTGACTTAGATGTGCAAGTTAATAAATTACTGCTGAGATATTAATTGGTAATGAATCAATATAATAATGAATGGAATAAAACCTCATGGAAATAAAAATCCAAGTGTTTTGAATAAAATTTTACATTAATTCACAACATTTCTAGTTACAGTAGTCCCCCTCTTCACCAGTGCCCACCTACTCCTTATGGCCAGAATCCGAAGGCACCGACGAATTTGTGTTCAAAATTACCCCTCACGAAAGGCCACCTGGATAATGCAACCAGCAGCCAGCATATTTGTGCAAAAATATAAAATTTATATTTTGTAATATGTATCCAGAACCAATTTTATTCATAATGTGTGTTAAGTAATCTGATTTCTATTTTCCATTGTCAGGTTTTCGTTCTTGAAAGAAGGTTGACTAAAGTATATGTACCACTAAAGTTAACATTATATCATTTATACCTCACAAGAAGCCA